TGTATACGGCATCTCTCTGTTCAGTTTTGCCTGTCCTTTCTTGTCCTCTCCTACCTCTTCATCTTCTTTCTCCACCTCTGCCCACCTCTTTATCTGTCCCCATATCTGCTTTTCCACCTGTGTCGTCGTGTCGTCCCCCCTCCCCCCCGCCCCATCCATTTCTGCTTTGTCTCTTTCTATCTATCTCTGCTACTCTGGTTGCCATTTGCTTCTTTCTCTCTCCCTGCCCTCTCTTGGGTTTTTTAGGAGAGTCTCACTATGTAACCCAAGCCGGTATGACAATTTACAATTCCCCTGCCTCAGCCTCCTGAGTTCTGGGACTACAAGCATGTCTCCTCTCTAAATTCGCAGGAATTTTAAAGCATAAATATAGAGAGATTAGATTGTTCTAATGATTCCTGTCTTCCATTCTCTTTTAACTTTCCCCTTGTATTTTAGAGCAAATCCCAGAGCTTGGGATGTAGCTCCATGGTAGAACACTTACCTAGCATGTACAAGGTTCTATGTTAAGGATCAAATCCTAGCCAACCCAATCTGTCACATAATTTCACCTCTTTAGTCCAGATGACGTGTCATTACTCATAAGAACATTTTTTATGTAACCATTGTGCCATTTTCATACTGAATGAAATGATTTCTTAGTACCCTTCACCACTGAAATGGTCTCTTTTCTTCTCTCCTTTACTTATCTTCCTCTGTCCCGAACTCAGAACCAATTTGGTCTGGTACTCTCCATTTTGTGTCTTTGCTGCCCACCATCCTTTCTATCTCCTTCTGATATGAAAGCTCCAGGCTCACTTTGCTCTCTTCTCACATTCTTCTGCAGGGTGAGGAGTGAGCGGGTAGAGAGATGTAGCTGTGGAGAAAGGCACCTCTCTGTCCTTGGGGAGCTCCTAGGCCAATAGGCCAGGGACCTGCCTTGGTGGGAAGGCAGGGTTCTAGGAACCAGCAGGCCCTTATGCCTTCCTCTTCCCGTCTTTTCTTTCCAGGAGGATTCCCGGGCTCCACAGCAGCGACTGCACAAACAGCTGGCTGAACATCTGCGTCAAAGCTGGGGTCCACTTGGAGCCCCGACACAAGTCCGAGATTTAGGAGAGATGCTACAGGCCTGGGGTGCTAGGGATAAGACTAGTACCCCCAAAGGCTCCCGCTTCACCCATTCAGAGAAGTTTACCTTCCATCTGGTGGGTAGGCCAGAGTGGACTGTGTTGATGGCTGACTTTGAGGGTTGCCTTATGTATTAACACCACTGTATTCTATACAAGTTCCCTGTGCTACTGAGTAGGCCCTCTCCAACTGGGAGAGAGTGCCCAGAGGGCTCCCCTAGCTTCTTGGGACTTGAGTGGAGAAAGGGCAGATAGATGGGACTTGTGTAAGGGGTGTGCCATGCTCCCAGCACAAATCCAATTGTTCCTTGGGCTTTCCTTTGGTTAACATGTTTCCTTTGAGAACATCTTTTCTTCTTGGACATCCACCCAGAGGAACACCTGGCCTTTCTCATGGACATTTTGGCCTGGGTGGTTATAGGGTCGGGGTGCCTACAGGGTCGGGGTGGTTATAGGACTGGGTGGTTATATGGCCTGGTGGTTAGAGGGTCGGGGTGGTCAGGGTTAGCCTCAGGGAGGTTTCCTTGTGGTCGCCACTCTAACATGCAGTTACAGATGGTGCTTTACTCTGCTGTAGTCACAGTCTGAAAACTGTCAGTGGTTGAGCGGACATGGGTACAGTGCTTGAGGGTGCTTTGGGGTTTAAGGCTAGGCTGTGAAGGATAGGACCTTGTGTGACTGACAACCAGGTTGCTGCTTCTACCCATAGGAGCCCCAGGTCCAGGCCACCCAGGTACCAGACATACCAGCTACCTCCCAGAGGCCTGAACAGGTAAGGAGACACACACACAGACACACACACAGACACACACAGACACACACACACACACACACACACACACACACACACAGAGAGAGAGAGAGAGAGAGAGAGAGAGAGAGAGAGAGAGAGAGAGAGAGAGGATGTGTGTGTGGATGTGTGTGAGTCAGTCAGTGTAGCTGGGCTATTGCCTGTCTTCTGGACTTGGTAGCTCCACCTAGACTGGCCTGTGCTTCCCAGGACACACGGGCAGCTCAAGAGCAGGAGTTAGAGTCTCTCCGGGAGCAGCTGGCAAGTGTGAACCACAACATTGAGGAGGTTGAAGCTGATATGAAGACCCTGGGAATGAACCTTATGCAGGTGAGGGGCTGGGAGAGGGACTTGGGCTGGATCAGGTCCGAACTAGGGCCTTGAGAGATGCTCCGTAGAGGTCTATAGATGCCAGACTTGTTGATGGAGGATGCTAGGGACCTCTGGTGTTATTGAAGGTTCGGGAGAACTTGTGAGGCAAAGAAAGATGTTGGATTGATGGCTTGGTGGACCTATAGGGGTTAGAGGCACATTTGGGTACCAGTCAGGCTTTGTAGGGGGACATAGCAGCTATGGGCATCAGTGGAGCAAGATGGGTCTGTATGGGCAGGGACTTGCAGGGCTTCTCAGGGCTTCTGGCTGTCGGTATGGAGCTGAAGATCCAGAGGCCTGGAGTAGGTAGAGGCCATGGGGTGCTCTGTAAGGCCTTGAGCTGGGCCAGGGCCATAATGGGCTCACTAGGATGATGAACTGTGTATATGACTGGGAGCTTGGCTGTGAGTATACCAGGTGGAAACCGAGTGTCGACAAAGTGAACTCAGTGTGGCTGAGCAGGAGCAGGCCCTACGCTTGAAGAGCAGGGCGGTGGAATTGCTGCCTGACGGGGCTGCCAACCTCGCCAAGCTGCAGGTGGGCTGGGATTGGGCTTGGGCTGAGAAGGGCGGGGTGGATGGATCCAGCCTGTTTTGACATACTCCCTGACTCCTGCCAGCACGTGGTGGAGAGTAGTGCCCAGCGGGTTATTCACCTAGCAAGTCAGTGGGAGAAACATCGAGTCCCGCTTCTTGCCGAATACCGCCACCTCCGAAAACTCCAGGACTGCAGGGAGGTAGGTGGCAGAGTCCTGGGCTGTGAGTGGAGATGTACTGCTTCCATTGGGGGGCGGTCTCTAAGCTCTGCTCACTGCCTTCTGTCTATGGGTTCCCGGCAGCTGGAATCATCTCGACGGCTGGCAGAAATCCAGGAGCTGCACCAGAGTGTTCGAGCAGCTGCAGAAGAGGCTCGCAGGAAGGAGGAGGTCTATAAGCAGCTGGTAAGGCCGATTTTAGGGCCCCAGGTTGTCATGGTGGGTGAGGTGTGGGGCTTGGGCTCATGCCTGCCATGTTCCTGTCTAGGTGTCAGAGCTGGAGACTCTGCCAAAAGATGTGTCCCGGCTGGCCTATACCCAGCGCATCCTGGAGATTGTGGGCAACATCCGGAAGCAGAAGGAAGAGATCACTAAGGTGTGCCACTGTGGCTCTGATGGGTGGATCATGTGGGCAGACAGGAATAGGGTAGTTATATAGGGACTATATGGTCTCTGATAGGTAGAACTGCTCCAGCACACCCCAACATATAATAGTCACATACAGTCTACCCCAGCCACCCCAACACAGTGACACAGGCCCTGACTGGATGTAAGTACAGGCACATGAGTACCATCCCTGGCCAGCTACCATGCCCCCAGACATGGACTGATGGCTACCCTGGTTTCTGCCAGATCTTATCGGACACAAAGGAACTTCAGAAGGAAATCAACTCTCTCTCTGGGAAGCTGGACCGGACATTTGCAGTGACTGATGAGCTCGTGTTCAAGGTAGGAAGCAGGCTGGCCTGGGGGAGGGGAGGGGTGGGCCTGAGCACTGGTGCCTGTTGCTTGGGCCTGGCTTTGCTCTGTGGAGGGTAGAGGTAAAGTGGTAGGTAGTAGAGGATGGCTCTGTAGGGGGATGGAGTAGTGGAAAAAGCCGGAATGGCTTGCTGACACGTTTGCGGTCCCTTCTCTCTTTTCAGGATGCCAAGAAGGATGATGCTGTTCGGAAAGCTTACAAATACCTAGCCGCCCTGCATGAGGTGAGGGGAGCCATGTTCCTGGTGGGCTGGCTGTAGAGGGCTAGCACAGGTGCAAGCCTTGTATTCTTGTCTCCAGAATTGCAGTCAGCTCATCCAGACCATTGAGGACACAGGCACTATTATGAGGGAAGTTCGAGACCTTGAGGAGCAGGTGAGATCTGGGAAGGGGAATGGAGGCCGGCCAGGGGGTAGCTCCTTGTTTTACAGTGAGAGTCCGTGAAACCAGACAGCTTGCAGCTAGAGGCTCAGCCTTAGTGCCTGGGACCTGGAGCTAGCCAGTTGTCTACTCTGAGCCCTGGCTTCTAGCTTGAGGCTCTACCTCCCACCTCCCAGAACCCATGGCAGAAGCTGTGACTTTAGGCGGAGGGAAGGACATACACAATGGCCTGGTGATGGGAAGGGACAGGCCACTGTTCCAGGGGTGGGAGGAGCAGAGTAACACAGTAGAGGGGCAGCCAGTAGGGGCTGGAAAATGGGCCCTGCATGCTGAAGATGTGTGCATCATGTTGTCTTAGATTGAGACAGAGATGGGCAAGAAGACGCTGAGCAACCTGGAGAAGATCTGTGAGGACTACCGAGCCCTTCGCCAGGAGAATGCTGGTCTCTTGGGCCGGGTCCGGGAGGCCTAGAGCCCTGATGGAGGTCTCCTAGCCACAGGCAGGAATTTGGGGGTGCCCAAGCACTTGTTGCAGCACTGCCTTCTGTTTGGCATCCACTTTTTCCTGCTGGCATCTTAAACCCAGGTGCCTGCTTATCTGGTCCCATCTTTCTTTGCTCAGGGTGACTGTCTAGCTTGGCCACAGTTTATTGGATGGGCACTGGGGGCCAGGGGGCTTGGATCCCAAATAAAAGAGAAATTCTTCTGTGGTCCACGCTGAGGCATGGATTGGGGCTTGGGGTCGGGGACTGGGGTCAGTGGCAAGTGAGACATGGGGTACATTGTGGTGAGTCAGTGTGTATTCATGGAGCTCAGGAGAGACAGTGGAGGGGGCTACATGTGTGTGCGTGTGTGAGTTCTGACAAATTGTCTGACTGTTGATTATTTGGGGGCATTGCATGAGGCTGTGTATGACCAGTTATGCCTGTGTGGTTTTCTGGGATGGAATCTGGAAGGTTCCAGTGCTGCTGTTGGGCAAGGGTCTGCATCTACACCTATATGTGATGGTGCCCATGGTTCCAGATGTTGTGCGTGAGTGCTTTGGGGTAGGAGTCAATAGGACTGCAGTCGTGTGAGACTGCAGGACCATGCAACTTTGAGGGCAGAAGAATGTACCAAGGCAGGCTCTTTGTCTTTTAGGGTTTGGGTTGAGTCCAGGGGACAGGATTATGACTGTGTGTGTCTGTGTCATTTCCCTGCTTGGGAGTGGCCAAGGCAGGCTGTATGTATAGCTGGGTATGAGGGCTGTTTGGCTGGAAAGCCCATCTTGGGAATGGGTTGGGGATAGGGGCTGGGCTGGGATTGGTGTCCCTCAGCCTTACGGCAGAAGATACAATCCAGGAGGGCAGCTAGACAGGGAGCAGAGGCCCTGACAGGCAAGACGGCGGAAACATCATTGCCTGGTCTCTGTAGATATGTCCGGGACTTGCCTCCTTGCCTCCATAGCCTCAGTTGCGTGTTTTGGCCCCTGTCCATCTTTCTTGTCTTGGTTTTGAGATCAAGGGCAAGGGTTGGAGCACTTGCTGGGGCGTTGGCTCCTCTTCTTGCGAAACTCAAACTCATCTACGGTCCACACCGCTCCCTTCTCACTCTCCACTCGCACAAAGCACTTGTGCAAGCTCAGGTTGTGGCGGATGGCATTCTGTGCAAGGAAGACCAGGCCCCCCGGGCAGGGATGGGGTAGACAGTCATCCAGTGAGTTCAGCAGACCTCAGCACTGACCTGCCCCTTTCCCACATGTTTAGCCCAAGGTTAACCACCCTTGGAGCCATCCCAGCCCCCGCTGTGTACAGAGGCGCTCACCTTCCAGGTGGCCGGGTGGTTTCTGAAGTAGGCAAACATGCGTGTGAACCAGTGGTAGATTTCATTGAGTGTTCTCTGCTTCTCTGGAGCTTCCAGGATGGCCTGGAAGGTGGAGTCGGGTGGAGTGAGCATGCTCCCTCAGAATTGTGCCTGAGGGAGGAGCCTACTCTAGGCTCTCTGCCTGGGATAGGTGTGTAGTTGTGGGTCAAGGGAGGGGAAGGAGAGAATGGGGTGAGGCATGGGGGCAAGGATGAAGTTAGTCGTGGGGTGGGCAATGGAAAGGGTAGTTTTTAGTGTCACGGTTTGGCTGGCACTGCCCTGGCTTGTAGTAGTTTTCGGTCCAGGGACAGCTGTGGGGTGAAGCTCCTCAGAGCTGAGGTTTGTTAATGCAGGATTCCACTCTCGGTGCAGAGGGACGCAGCAGGGTGGGAGGCAAGCACCCCCGACCCCCAGCTGCCAGGCCTAGGCTGCCCCGCTTACCCATCGGATGAGGGTGGCATAGGTGAAAGGGGGTCTCATGTTGTGGAACTTGAAATAGTCCATGTTGTGGAAGAACTCTGCAGAGGGTTGGGATAGATCAGGCCCCATGACCTCCTCACACCCTACCCCACCTTTGTCTCCACTGTGAGGCCAAGGCCTGAAATCCTCCGTTAGCACCAAGGGTGGAGGGTGGGTCTGTGATCACACACAGGTACTGTTTACTGAGTCCCCACCATCAGCTAACTCTTCCTTGCACCGCTCTTCCCAAAATAGCTCTCCCCCGATTAAAAAGAAATCGGGTAACGTGCACCAAAGGCATGTAAGCAGTTCAAGTGACGTAGCCAGTATGACACCAAAGAGTTGTGTTTCCTGGTAAATCCACAGTCTAGGCCTGGCAGGTGGGAGTGGATTGGTGAGCTTGGAAGAATCCACCTGATTCCCCTTGAGGTAGGAAGAAGGGAGGGTTCTTTGGAATTGCTTGGCTAGGTCCCTCTCTCATGACCAAATGAAACAGCTGATGCCAGGTGGGTGAGGCATGGCTCCAATCCCCAAAAGACACGGGCCCGGAGCTATGGCTTTGTAACCATTGGAGGCTTCTAGGCCTAATAAACTCAGGTGCAGTTTCCTCCCAGCTGCTGTTGGGGGTGAGGGGAATGGGAACTCCTTTGTACCTCCTGGCACCAATTGGTATGAGGAGCGTGGGGTCATCAGATGGGGTGCAGACTCCACTGACCTGGAAAGGTGCCATTTCCATGGCTTCCCCAGAGGTGCCTCCGCACGGCAAACAGGCTGTCCGAAGCCTCCCGGGGAGCAGACCAGGCTGGGAGAACACTGCCCTGTGTGCTCGAAGCTACAATGCAGCAAGAGCTCTTGTCCATTGAGGCCTGGGCGGATTTAGGAGAGAACGGTGATTGAGAGGCTTAAGCTTTTCATTTCGTTTTATCTTTTCCAAAATGATTTTGTATTTTTATTACTAATTAAATTTGTTTCTGGACAATTTTGCACATGTATGCAATACGTACAGACCACTTTCACCCTACTTCCTCCCTCTACTGCTTACCCGCTTCCTCCTCACAAATCTCTCTTTCTCATATTCATGTCTATTTATTTTGTTTAAAAAATATTGTCATTATTTTTATTATTATTACTATTAGAGATGGGGTCTTACTGTGTAGCCCTGGCTGGCCTGGAACTTACAGAAACTTACCTGCTCCTGCATCCTGAGTGTGCCACCATGCCTTGTCTATTCATTTTATTTTTGTCTTACTTAATTATTTTTCTGAGATAGTCTCACTATATAAATCTGGCTGGCCTGTACTGCCCATCTCCTAGCTCTACCTCTGGAGTTCTGTGTCACCACGTGTGGCTTCTATTTTTATTTTATATTTTTTTTTTTAGACAGGGTTTCTCTGTGTAGTCCTGGCTGTCCTGGAGCTCACTCTGTAGACCAGGCTGGCTTCAAACTCACAGCGATCCACCTGCCTCTTCCTGCCAAGTTCTGGGATTAAAGGCATGCGCCACCACACCGGCTTTCCATTTTACTTTTAAAAATGTTTGCTTGTTTATTTATTTACTTATGCAGGGCCTCACATTGTAATACAGGCTAGTCTGCAATTTACTATGTAGCACAGGATGGCCTCAAACTTGGGGCGCGCGCTTGCTGTATCAACCTCCTAAGTGCTGAGATTACTGCCTAACCACCACTCAGTTTCCATTTTATTTTTACTTAAAAAATGTTTTTCTGAGGCAGGATCTCATGTAGCCCATGCTGGCCCTCTAGCTTGCTATGTATCATAGGATGACCTTGACACTCCTGATCCTCTTGCCTCCACCTCTGGAGTGCTGGCATTATAGGTGCGAGTCATTATACCCAGCTTCCATTCTATTTTGATTGTAAATGAACAAAAGGATTTTGTGTGTATGGGCATTTTGCCTGCATGCATGTCTGTGCACCACATATGTGCCTGGTGCCTGTGGAGGCCAGAGAAGTGCACTGGATCCACTGGAACTGGAGTTAGAGACAGTTGTGAGCTTCCCTGTGGGTGCTGGGAAACTCCGGTCCCCTGGAAGAACAGCAGGTTCTCCTAATCCCTGATCCATCTCTCTAGTCCTCCAACCCCACTTTATTTTAAAATTTGCATTTACTTATTTGGTTATATTTATATCTCACTTGTGTTTATGTATGATGTTTATACACATACATGTTGGTATGTATGTAAGTGCTGGTGCATGTGTAGAGATCGGAGGGCAATCTTGGGTGTTAGTCCTAACCTTTCACCTTGTTTGAGACAGGATCTCTTGTATGCCTCTGCTTATGCCAGGCTAGCCGGCCTATGAGCTTTGAGTTTGGGGGATTCTGGTTTTTTCAGACAGAGTTTCCCTATGTAGGCCAGTCTGGCCTGAATTTGTAGGGATCTAACTGCCTCTGTCTCCTGGGTGCTGGGATTAAAGGCCTGTGCTACCATGCACAGCATTTTGGGTAATTCTGTCTCTACCTAAGTGCGCTGGGATTACAGACTTGTATACTCTGCATCTGGTGTGGGTGCTGGGATCCAAACTCAGATCCTTTTACTTGTATGGCAAGCACTCTTCCTATTGAACATCCTCCCCAGCTCCTGTTTATTTGGGTTTTTTGTTTTGTTTTTCAATCCAAGGTTTCTATGTAACAGCCCTGGCTGTCCTGGAACTCACTCTGTAGACTAGGCTGGCCTCACACTCACAGAGATCCACCTGCCTCTGCCTCCCGAGTGCTGGGATTAAAGTTAAAGGTGTGCGCCATCACCATCTGGCTATTTGTATTTTTTTTAACTTTTATTCTCCTCTTATACATTACATCCCACCCATAGTTCCCCTCCCTCCACTCCTCCCAGTTCCCCCCTCCACATCCACTCTCCCCCAGATCAACTCCTCCTCCTGTTTCTGATAAAATAAGACTGGGCACAAACCCTCATATCATGGCTGGACGTGGCAACTCAGTATTTTTTTTTTTTTTTTTTTTAGAGACAAGGTCTTCTGTGTTGGTCAGGATGGTTTTGAACTCAAGGGGTCAAGTGATCCTCCTTCAAGTAGCTAGAACTACAGGTGCATAGTGTGTGTCTAGTGAGGTCAGTGCTTTTGAGAAGGGCACCACCCTCTTGCCAATTGCCGGCTGTGGCTGAACTCCACCAAGTAGCTGTGGAGCATCTTGATTAGATACAGGAGTGAGCATGCTATGAAGCCATAGATACTGAGGCTGGGGGTGAGCAGGGGCTGAATTGGGATCCGTTAGCATCCAACTGTGAATTTGAGAGAATCAACTAAGTCTTCCTGACCTCAGTTGTCTTCATTTGGTCATTAGGATGACAGTGGTAGCTACCCCAGTTGTATGAGTAAGTATGAGACTTAAGTAAGTTCACATGAGCGAAGTGCCTGGGACTGGGTGTGTGAAATGTACGGTCACATAGGACCCCACAGTGTTCAGGGTTCTGAGGTTGTTATCTTGAAATTTGAATATAGGGCCCTCCGTTTTCTTTTTGCAGTGCTCCCTCTGAGTCCGCCACTGGTGCATTGGGGTTACTGTCTGCCTTCTGTATGTGGCTATTTACTATTGCTTTGAAAAAGCAGACTCTTGATGTTTGGGGGTCACAAGGTCAGAGGGTGTGTATGCATATTAAAGAGGTGGGAATGGCCTGTACAGGCCAGGGCTTGTATGTGAGAAGAGGTCACTTGGCCCTTAAGGGCTTCTCTCTTGCCCCTAGACGTTAAAGTCTTCTGCCTCTGGACTTGGGGTACTCACCATAGCCGGAGCCTTTGACAGTGCTATCTTCCCGGCCAGGTGGGCCTGCATAGCACCCAGCTTCTCCTTTTCCAGCTCCAGCTGTGGGGATGTACACCAAAGTGAGCTCTCCGCCTGGTCTTTCTTAGCCACACCTTTGACTGCACTAAGGTCTTCCCTTGGAGGCTGCCCCCCCCATCCTTCTTTGCCCTCAGCCACCCCCTGCAGGCATTACCTGCTGTTCCAGAGACTGCACCACTTCTCTCTGCAGGAGGCACTGCGCTTTGCCCTTCTCATCCAGGAGGTGATCTGCTTGGCAATGCCTGAGCAAGGAGAAGAGTCCATGTAGCTGACCGTGCTGGCTCAGGCCTCCTGGCTTGGTGTTCCATTTAGGGACAGCCAAGACCCTTTGGGAGATTTCTCCTTAGAGTCAGTTTCTCTACACACAACCAGAGCCCCGTCTCTCTCCCCCATCTGGACTGCCGTAAACACACACTCTTCAGCAATTACTGGCTTCCAGGCCTGAGCTATTAGAAAGGTGGCAAGAGGGAGAACGGAACCTCAGGTGGTGGGCACAGCCTATGCAAAGGCCTGGCCGTGCAGGGCGTGTATCGTTGCCAAGAGTTAGGTGTGATTAGTGAAATACAGAAGGGGAAGGGAGCAGATAGGAAGCCGAGGGGAAAGAGCGAGCGACAGGCATCTAGAGGAGCAGAAACTCGAGGCTCAGTAATGTGTGTTGTGTGGGGGGAAAGCCGGGGGGAAAAAGCAGTTGGGCGTGTGGGTTCTGGAGCCTGGCTGCCTGGGTTCATGGCCAACAGTCAGCACACCTGTGTGCGCTTGATTGAGACTTAATTCTGTTTGGGCCTTAGTTCCTTTGTGTATACAACGGAACTAAGATAACTCTCAGCATATACCTTCATTATTATGTTTCATCATAGAAGTGAGACAACCTGGGCCCAGAGAAGCCCAGCAACTTGCCCACGATCACAGACCAGGGAGGGATGAAGTCTCAGCCTTTACTACTTTCTTCTTATCATCCATCAAAAGGATTCTGAGTTGAGATATGCAGTCCAGACCTCTGCTCAGACACCAGAACCCCATGGGTAGAGTCAGGATACTCACTTAAGAAACTCTTCTGGCTCCTCGAAGACCTTCTCACAACCAGGCCACTTGCAGACTCCATTTGCCAGCAGTGGGTAGGATCCTTGCGGGGCAGCCAAAAGGTTGCTAGGTTGGGGGTGAGAGAATCCAGGATATGAGCAGAGGGGTGGGCAGAGAGAATGGGGTCTTCCCAACACTGGCAACTTACTTATCTTTCCTGGGTGTCCCTGAGCGTGGGAAGGTGCAGAGTAGAGCCGGCTCCCTGGACACCCATTCCAGACTGGCTACGTTGATCCCTGTGGGTAGAGACCGTGTACTTCTGGAGCTGCAAGCCAGGCTCTGCAGCTTGTTCCAGAAGGCTTCTATGTTCCCTGAATCTTGAAGATTCTGACTCATAGGACACTGCTGTTCCCACAGAGCAGGGCTTCTGACAGGGCAGCCTAAAGATGCCCACTGATAAGTAATGACACTTTGACTAATGGCAGCGATTTATGGTTTTTGACATTCTGTGTCTTCAAGGTTCTAAGCCTGAGGGTTTTTGGAAGTTGGAGTTTTCATGACTCTTAAGACCCCTCTAGACCTCCATAGGGCTGCAACTCAGACAAGTTTACATTGTGTATGTTCGAAGATCTGAGGACTTGAAGATTCTGTGAAGCCATAGGGAGAAAGCTGAGGTCTTTACCAGGTGGCAGGCCAGGCCGGGCCTTGAGGGAGAAGACCCCAGTGGCAGCAGAAGGTGGTGGGAGGCTGATCATGGCCGGGTTGTCCAGTGGGCGCACTTGTAGCACAGGGGTCTGGGCATGGGCATCCACAGTGGAGAGCTGAGGAACAGACGTGGGCCATGGCTCAGCCTGGCTCGGGCTTCTGCCTCATGGTTGTCCTGTTTGCTCCCTCTTCCCAGCCTGTTCAGATTCCATACCTGATGCATGAAGTGTGGTCTGTCCTGGAGAAGTGCCTGCAGGTGGGGTGAAGGGCCTAGTCGGGCCCCAGAGGGGGCCACCATGACCAGGGGTACTGTAGGCAGCTGGAAGGAGAGGCAGACGCCATGAGATGCTAGCCTCATCGTCACAGTTCTGTGTCTCATTCGTCAGCTTTTCTCTAAAGTTCCACGTGGTAGGAACTATTAACATAGCCAGTTCACACGTGGACTCTGAGGCTCATGGAGACACGACTCACCAATATCAAACAGTTACAAGTGGTAGAGTTGGCCCCAACGCTGTCACCTTACCTTTCTGGGCTCCAGCCATCTCCTCTTGTCACAGTGAGATGAAGACACATGGCTATGCCCAAGGGATCATAGTAAGATCTCCTTTTGGGACAAGGATTAGGAGGGTGGGGGAAGCCTCGAATCTCTGAGGCCTGGAGAGTGGGGATTTTCTTGGCCCTGCAACATCTGCATAAGTCATAGACTTGCCTGGGACCCATAAACCACTTCCTGTGCCCCAGCCAGCCCCCCTCCTGCCACATGCCACAGTAAAGGTCGGCACCTATAGGCCCAGGTACCCCACCCTGCTTGCCCCATTCTGGGCCCCGGGCCTCACCTGCAGCTGTGATGGTGGCAGGGGGTTCAAGGAAGAAGTGTGAGCCCCACCTCGCAGGTCCCGGCCTTGGAAGGTTCCCCCAGGACCCCTGGTCCCTAGGAGCTCTGAGGCCTTGGGTGCAGTCTTCCAGCTTGGCAAGACTCCTGGGGATGGACCAAGGGCCAAGGAAGGGGCTACGGGCTTGGCTGGCCTGGGGTTGGGCATTGGGTTCTTGTCAGAGGCAGGCTGCAGGGACAACAGTGGAATGGAGTCACGTGCGTTCCAGGGGTGGTGTAAGATGGTCATCCAATTGAACCATACAGATAGCCTCTGGTCAGAGCAGATGTTGGCTAGGGCATGCCCCAAAGGGCCCCATAACTATACCCCAGCCCTTGTCTGTCTTACACACATACACCCTACCCTGATACGTGTGTGTGTGTGTGTGTGTGTGTGTGTGTGTGTGTGTGTGTGTGTAAGATATATATATATATCCCCCACATGTACATGTCCAGCACCTGACTTGTCTGCATGCACCACACAGCCCTGTTGTGAATGTGGGGCAATGGGGAGTTGGTTGGTGGGGCCTCAGCCTTCTGGTACTCCCTGCATTCTGTACAGGCTGCAATCTTTGCTGATTCTGCTGGGGCTCGTCTTAGACTCTCTTCTCATTATTTTATTCCAGTGACTTGGGTATGAGCTCAAAGATTCAGCTGGATGCTCTGCGAGGGAAGGTTCCAGGGAACTAGTACTACTAGTGAGAAGTCTACAGCAATAGTTTAGGCAAGTGATGCTGCTGCTACTAACCTGGATAACGCAGAGGAGCTGGGAAGAAATGGCTGGATACTAAGTCTCCTTTGAAGACAGAGTCGGGCAAAGTTGCTGGAAGCTTGGATGTAGGAGATGAGAGAAAGGGTCAAGATGACTTCTGGGGTTGGGCATAAGCAGCTGTGACAAAGTGGGCACTACCAGAGATGGAGGATGGAGGAGCGAGTTTGCAGTGATAGCAGTCAGCTGTGGCTAGACGCAAAGGTAAGCATTAGATGCCTGGATAGACATGCGGGCAGGGAACTGGATTCAAGACTGCAGAGCTCAGGGCCACGGTGGGGGTTAGTCTTCTCTGGGCTTCTGTCTTGCATGGAGTTAGCATGGCAGGTGCCAGAAAAAAAAAGAGAGATAGGATTTCTTGATCTAGGGCCTTTGGGTGCCCCCCAAATTAGCCTCACCCCTACTTGCCCCAATCTATGTTCCTCAAGGTTGGAATTCCTACATCATATCCTCTTCCCCTAGCCATACCTCAGTCTTTGGTGTTCCTCCTCAAAGCCCTGTATGGTGACCTAGGCCTCTCTGCTGAGCCCCAGTATCTTACAGCCCCTCAGAGGCATGGCTTTTTTTTTCTTTCAGGATCTTACAGTTCTAGTCAGAGAGGCAACCAGATCTTGAAGTGACTATATAATTCTACCCCCCTTTTAAATTAAAGGGGTGCCCAGGTTCATAATTCTATAGTCTTTCTATAGCCTTTTCAGACAGGGTCTCATTTAGCCTGGGCTGACCTGGAACTCCTTACATAGCTGTGTTGTTCTTGAACTGTTAGCCTCTGCTTTCTGAGTGCTGGGATTACAAGGCACCATTCCAGACTGATGTCTCCACATCTTTCTCTAGGAAGTCTGTATCCGTGTCTACAGTTCAGAAACTCCCTGCTCTGTATATGTGTGCGTGTGTGTATGTCATTCTCTAGTCTACTATACTACCTGGGTTGGGCAGATGGCTTCTGAAAACAGCCAGGGGAGCACAGAAGTGTTCTGGAAGGCAATTTCTTCTTTGCTATCATATCATGGAGATGACAGAACTGTGGTCCTGAGAGAGACTGGTGTGAGTTTAATACCTAGGTATTAAAACTGTAGTGTCTCAGGGGTTAAGCCATTAGCGTGAGAACCAGGGGTCTGGGTCTGTGGAGGCTGAGAACACGGGCTTCATAGAATAGTGATGAGATGAGGAGGTGAAAGACTGAATGAAGGCAGGCAGCCATGAGGTGATGCTTCTCCCAGGCACAGGGCAGCAAAGAAAACAATCAGAAACTAGGAGAAGGCCAGGAAGAGATTATAAAAGGAGCCAGTCCTGCTGACATCTTGATCTTGGTCTTCTAGCCTCCAGAACTGTGACACAATAAACTATGCTGTATAAGTCACCCAGTTTGTGATACTTCATTACAGCAGTCCAAGCAAATATGTATCAAGTTCGGTGAGTAGAATTTTCCACCATAATGGCTTAGCCCTCATGGGCGGACCATGGTCACTTTTGAAGCAGTCTAGATATTTGGCCAGAACTTATAAGAAATCTCCCTAAATACATCTGGAACTGGTGTGACTCTGGGAAGCATTAGTACATTCTCAGAAAGGGGACCCAAATTGGAGATGGTCTGTCTAGTGGTAGTAGGGACCTAGAGGGCTGGGCTGGCCAGCCAGCTTCCTGCACTGTCTGTTGGGGCGTCCCTTTTTGACTGTTTCTCAGAAGCTGTATGGAGGTTGTTTCTGGGACATAGAATATGTTTTCCTATCGGGGTCTACATCTGGGCCCTGTTGTCACAACCCCAACTTGGCCAGATTTTTCTGCCATTGACGTCATGGCGGCCGGATGCACCGGGCTTCATCGGCAACAGAGGAAGAGAAGGGGGCAGACAACCCACCCCACAGGTTTCGTTCCGAGAACTGCCTGGTCCATCCCATAGCCGGATAGGCCCAGGTAGGGTGATGTGGGTGCTAGCGGATGTGGTAGGTGACGTCCATCTGGCCACCATGCAAACCCCAAGTTCTGTAGATCCTGTATTTCTTGGATGTCAGAGAGGCCCAAGGTTGGACGCTTGGTGAGTGTTAGGCAGGCCTCATGGATATTGAGACCCGTTGGGTCTTCAAATGGTATAGTAGCTGAAACTTAGAACTGTAGGGTCTCATTTCTTAGAGCCAATGGATTTCAGGATCTCAGGAATACAAGCTTTGTAGGGTGCATGGATTCACCTTCTCACTGTGTGGATCACTGTCCCAGAGTCCAAAAAAATGGGAACCACCTAAAGGCTAGGAAGCCCAAAACTCTATAAGGCCTCTTGCTGGGCCTGGAATGTCAGCAAGTTCTCCTCAGCTTCCTCCCCGAGCTCCCTAAAGGCAGAGAATTGGAAGGACCCTCTTCTGCCCTGATCTGTAGGACAGGCTTTGCCCTCCTTCCTAATTTGGGACAGTAACAGGGGCCATCTGCCAAAGTTAGTACATATAAAATGCTGAGCAAAATGTCTCACTGATAAATGGACACTTACATATGGCTCCAGCCCCCCTATCCTGGGACAGCATTCCCCAAATCATAACGTTCTGCCAGAGATAGGGGCAAGAGGAAGACATTTGGCCTGGGACTCATGGAAAGAGTACACCACCAGGCTCTTTGGAAAGACCTCAGAATAGTGATCTCCAGGAATCCAGCACCAACTCTGAGGACACATTCTTACTGATATCCCTCCATCATTACTATTCTCTGGTCAGCTTCTGACTCATGGGGTCCAGGGTCTTACATAGGCCAGAGTTTCTGAGGCTTGGCCTCAGTCCATGATTATGGACCATGTTGCTGAAATCTGGATCCAATTTTTGAGAAGGCAGAAAGGGGGACTGACATCTCAGGTCTCCTGGGTACTGTGGGGTAAACTGAGGCCACAATGGGGGATGGTCAGAGGCAAGGTCCCACTGAGAATTCTGAGATCTGATCTTGGGTTTAACTGACACAACATCTCTGTGAGGCCTGGAAAGAGTATGGGATGGAGGAAGGCCAGGGTCTTTCTGTCCTGTCATCCATCCATCCATCCACCCACCCATTCATCCATCCATCCATCCATCCATCCATCCATCCATCCATCATGTGTGTTAGTGTGTGCCCATATGTGTATGAATAAAGATATGGGGAAACAGACATGGAAGAAGAGATACAGGTGGAGAGAGAGAGAGAGATATAGAGTGAGGAACATGAGATGGAACAGAACTAGATCACAGAGACGTGAGAGCTATTTAGAGAAACAGTGACAGAGAAATAATGAGAAAAAGAGTGAAAGAAACAGAGAGATAGAGAGAGGATTGACTCAAATAATCACTGGCCTCTGGCTGGAGGACTAATGCCGCCAGGTGCCAGAAACACCCATGGCTGGTATTGAATTGTTTTGCAAAGCAACATCAGAAAAGCAGTATTGGTCTTGTACAAGGACAACTACTAAGGACCAGAGCAGAGTAGAAAGCTTTGGCCATAGACTTATGCATAGAGAGAATGGGATTTGTGATGAATGCAATGTTTCAACATGAGGAATCGTGCAGGCTAGATTAACAAATGCTTCTGAGACAGGAGAAAGTCAAGTGACTGGGTAGAGTGATCAGTCCACTTTCCTACCAGTACCTCTCGGCCCACTTGAAATGTCTCCAGCATCACAGGCTCTAGAATAATTTCCAGATTCCCCAAAGACATACATTTTAATGCCTGTCATTGTGTGTTCAGCCTTGTGCTAAGCACCTAGCATGATTAATAGATCCAATCCCCAGAAAGAGCCTTTGAGGTAGGTGCTAGTATAACCATCACAGTACATACGAGGAAAGGGAGGGACAGAGAGGTTGGGTGATGGTTAAAATTCACATAGATGACTTGAGGTAAGGCTAGGTTGTTCCAGACAGTCTGGCTCCAGTACCCACACTTTTGACCTCTGTAGTAAATGGAAAAAATGAAGCCATAAAGGAGACTGGAAGCCAATATGGGGTGAACAATCATCTCATTTTCAAGTGGCAAAATACTTTTAAAGCACAAAGCCATAGACAGAAGCCACATGAGAAAAGAGTAGTCTGAATACCTAAAACACATGTGTATTACAAAGCACAATAAGTCAAAAAAAAAAAAAAAAGCAAATGACAGTCAGGTATAGTGACGTGTGCTTTTAATCCCAGCACTCGTGAGACAGAGGCAGATGGCTGGGTCTCTGTGAATGTGAGGTCAGCCTGGTCTACACAGTGAGTTCTCTAGGCCAGCCAGGGCTATACAGTGAGACCCTGTCTCAAAACAAAAACAATAGAAAAGCACACAAATGGAGCTGGAGAGATGGCTCACTGGTTAAGAGCACTGGTTGCTTTTCCCGAGGAGGTGGCTTCAATTCCCAGCATCCATGTGGCAACACACAAACATCTGTCACTCTAGTCCCATGGGATCCCACACCCTCTTCTGGCCTCTGTGGGCACCAGGCACGCATATGGTGCACATGCAGGCAAACATGCATACCCATAAAATAAGTAAATAAATAAAATTGAAACACACATATTCACAAATGATGAACTTGGGGCAAATGTTTGCTATATACATATAGCCAATAGAAAGTTATTATCCTTTCCAAATTAAAATCTGTAGAAAAAAATCTTGAGTACTCTGTTAGGAGTAAGAACATGATCATACAACTCTTGTTCACAAAGCACAAATGGCCAGTAGTCATTAAAAGTCACCAAAGAATGCAAAATTTGACAACATAACTTCTTCTTATGATGGATTAAAAATGTATACCCACCTAAGATTCTAAGATTAGCTTGAATAGAAACAACATAAAACAAGACAGCATTTTGGAAAAGCAATTTGTAGAGAGAACAAAATACAAAACAAAAAAAAAAACAACCCTTAAAACAAATACTCCTTCTTCCCAGCTACTCCATTTTCAGGGTCCAAGAAGTCAGTCATGGATTTTTGAAATTAGAAGAAACCTGAATATCCAACCATCAGCACTTAATTCAGGCAATTCAGAGTGTGATGTGAGGACAGTCATGGCAGACATGAAAGATCACGTGTTCATTTTTTTAGTATGCTACAAAAATGGTGTTGATTGAATAAAGCAGGAACAAACCCCAAATACAGCGTGATTCTAATTTGTTTAAAAATACTAACAGCTAACAGTGAGAACTTACCATATCTGGATACAGTGCCACAGGACTAAGCCTGAAGAGACTAGCTCACCCTAGTCCTCAACTGCCTGTTCTCCATGGACATGAACTCTGGTCACACTCACACAGTCCTTTGCTAAACCATGGTTGACCACGCTGTGAAGTGCCTTTCTAGAGCGTGTCCTCTTATGTGACACAGCAGAAGTTCAATTAAATGCTAAGACTGACCTGCTGCTCACAACCCTCTTCCCCCGAGGACCAACAAAACTGATAGCCATTTTTGGAAAACGGAGTTCTCCAGTCCTTATTAGCAAGTGCCAGCGGTGGTCCAATCTCTGTGCTGGATACTGGGAGGAGAAGCAGGTGGAGGAAGGTGAGCCCAGAGAGTAGGAGAGGTGAAGGAAAGCAATGGGACACAGGTGGTCAGGATGGAAGAGACAGAGAGGAATCTCGTCAGGGCCTCGGAAAGACATGGACAGCGAGTGGCCATTCACGGGAGAAAGACAGAGACAGACAAAGAAACAGAGTGAGACAGGAAAAGAAGTGGGGGGCATCAAGAGGAAAGAAATGAGATGCAGTTCAAGTGCCCAGTTCCAGCCAAAGCTCTGGCATTCATCGAGACTAGCATTTAAAAAACCTTGTCCATCTGTGTATCAAACCGTCCATTTTCTTCTTTTTGTCCCCGTCTAAGGACTGGCTGCTCCACCTATCTGGTACTTAGGATAAATGGTATTAGTTTCAAAAGTCCTTACCTGGAGTTGACAGTGGCTGGGGGTTTCCAGCTGGATTGGAGGGCTCCTGACCCCCCCAACTGCTATCTTCCTGACACTTTCTCCAGCAGAGCTGTGTCTGGTTGGGGAGAGCAGGGACACTCACCTTGGTGAAGTGGACTGACAGAGAAGGATCAGCCTGGCTTGTGGGAAACTGCCACATTATCAAAAACAACTTTGCTTTTATACCGAGAAGAAAAACCACGGCGTGGAAGCCGCAGACCTCTCTCTTCTAATAATCCAATTTTTTTTGATGAGTGTGTGTGTGCTGATAATCACAGGGTGGGGGGGTTCTCATAGTTTTTTTTTCTCTCTCTCGCTTTGTTTATTCTTTTCTTATGAGACTTAAACGGAAATTTTGAAATTTTGGGTTTTTTCTTTGCCCTTTACAAGTCATCTGAAAATATGATTTCTTCCCCTCACCACAGAGGTAAAAGGTATCAATGAGATAACAGGGCTCATGAGAAACCACAATTTCTTAAACAAAAGTGTGTAGAGTCAGAAAAAAAAAATAAGGGAAGATAAATCACAAAGGCATCCCAAGGCAGGTAGAGACGCGGTTCTGTGCATGGGAGGATGTTTGAGTACTCCTGGCTTGAACAGGAGAAAGGATCTGAAGCCCAACATCTGGATGGGAAACAGCAAAGAAAGAGATGGAATAGTGCTTGGTTTCCAGAGGCTGCATCCTGCTTCAGGCCTCGGTTTCTCCTTAGGTAGAATCAATATGATCACCACCATTCCTGTTGCCAGAAGGTGGGAGATCTGGACACCTCTGTAACCTTTCTTTCCATAGAAGGCAAGAGCTATGTAATGCAGTTCATGGAGAAAGAAAGTGGGGTGTACTCCTACCACAAATTCATAGAATCAACCAGTCTCAGAATCACTGGCTCCTAGAATCTGCTGCGAGTCTCTGCGTGAAGAGGAAAGAATCTCCACGTGCTGTTTATGCTTCAGCGCTCTGACCCAGCCGTCACCCACCTGCGAACGGCCCTAACGGCCCCATACTAATGCATCGAACATCACAACCAAGGGCTAGGGTAAGAAAGGCTCGGCATGCAGCTCAGTGGCAGAGGGCTTGCTTAACATGCACAAGACTCCTGGTTCCATCCTCAGTACCACCAAAACAAGATTAAGGGAAAAAAAGTCATACACGAGGCAGCCCAGGGTTCCCATCCTGTCAGGAACAATATAACTATAACCTGATGATTCTGACACCCCCCACCCCTCACCAGCCTTTGTGACATTCTGCTATGAAAAGCCCCAGTTTCACCCAGCATCCTAACACACACCAGTAATCACAGCACTCAGGAGGCTGAGGCAGAAGGATCAAGAGTTTAAGGCTGCCTGGGGCTATATAGCCAAATTCTGTCTCAAAAACCTAAACAACAGAAGGAAAGAAAAGCTACAGTTCCCAAAGGTTTAGGATTCTAAGTCACTGCCATCATTTTGGTAGCCAACATTTATCTAGAAATTTCCGCATTCCAGCCACAGAGCTGACCATTTCTCACAAACAATTGTGTTCAATCCTCACCCTTTGAGGTCCATCTCATCATTACTGTATTGCTATTATACCGATGGGGAAAATGGAGGTGTAACTTGTCCAAGATCACAAAGATGGAAAATAGGGGTCCTTAGCACTGGGTTCTGAGTGCCCAGTTTTCCTGAAGCCCACAGTGTCGGGTTTTAATTTCTAGGATTCGATGACAGGGAAGTTCTGGGATTTGGAGACTCTTCTGGAGCTTGACGCTTGTGAGCTTTTCAAGTTTTTGTACAAGATTGGCAGTTGCATTTTCTCGCTTTGGCACAGACCTGCTCCCTCCAACCACTGCTTAACATAGACCAGCCTCTACAGATTTCTCCTGACAAGGCATGGCCAAAGCTTCCAGCTTTTGGTGCCCTGGCACCCCAGAGAGCGTAGAGTTCCAGGTATCCAACTGCAACTTCTTTGCAAGACCAGCTTCGGGCCTGATGAAGAGAAAGTAGAAGTAAGTTTTTATTCACATGATACTAGTCTAGTGGCAAATACCCAGCCCTCTACCGTTGCCCTCCTTTGCCCCCTTTTCCTTCTCCCCTATCTTCAACCTCCCCCCCCCACCCCCCGCCAAAAAAAGAGAGTGGCTTTCCTCAACTTAACTCACCTTTCTAGAAAAGACAAGAGTGGAACTGATGGCCTGGCTTTGTAAAGACAAGAGGGGAAAAAAGTGAATAGAAAAAAAAAAAAAGACCTAAAAATATCAGCCAACAACAACAACAATAAAAAAAAAAACCCTCCACCCTTCCTACCATTAGCTCAAAGCAAAACTTTCACTGGTTGGGGCTTCTAAGTTGGTGGGACATATCTAAGAGCAAACGTGGCCTGTGTGGCGGCTGGAAGCAGAGGGGGGTACAGAGGCGAAAGGGAGGTACAGAGGTGGGATGAGGTCCTCTTTCTGACTTTGGAGCTTTGCAGGGATCCTAGGAGCTTAACAGAGTGGTTGTGTGTGGGAGGGGAGAGGGGAGGGCTGAAGAACATACCTAACAGGGAGTCCTGGGCAGCTGACTGTGGGCATGCCCTCAAGTTAATGATCCCTGCTCCCTGTATACTTGGGCCCGAATAGTCCCTGTATCTTCTATGTGACCGAGACAGTTCTAGTGCCTGCCCTAGCACCCGTCTCTTTCTGGAATAGGTGCTGGCTTTCTCAGGGTTCATGGTATGATCTGCATCCTCCTTTATATCCCTGTGACCATCTGCCTGTTCCTGCCACTCTGTGGAGAAGACTGGCCAGAGAGGTGGCAGGGAACACGAATGAGGGTTAGTGACAGAGATTCCCAGGAGTCTACTTGAGTGGGGCTTCAGGTGAGGGAGGGCTAAGGTTACTGAAGCTGAAAGCCAGGATCTTTGCAGAACAAGGGCTGGAGGGGAGGTCAGGTTGTCAGAGGTCAGCATCTCTGCTCCACCTTAACTATATCTGCTCATGTAGGATTCTGGGGAAGAAGATCTGGAGGCCTGCGGGTTGAAGATGAATGGGTAGAATTGAACAGGCCAGGGAAAGTCCCCAGGGAAAGGGATCTTTGACAAAGACCTGGCGTAGGAGAGGAAGAGAGCCATGGAGAGGTCTGCAGACCTGGAGGGAAGGGCCAATGGGAATGCCCTGAGGTGAGTGTACTGGATTTGGAGAGCAGCTACAAGAAGTCTGGTGTGCCTTGAGTGCAGTGAGTGAAAGCAAGAGGAACGAGAGGTAAGGTCAAAGAGGACTCGTTAGATTATGCCTTTTACAACACCCTGGAGGGTTGGCTTTTCCTCCAAGTGCGGAGGAAGCCATTGGAGTATCGGGAGCAGAGGAGGGACATCACTGTCAGGACTTAGGAGGATACCTTAGATTGCTGAGTTTGGAATAGGGTGTAGGAACATGGGGCAGAGACCAAGCAGGAGGAGGCTACTACAGTAGCCCAGGTGACTGGCACTGGGGCTGGTCCTGTTGGGAGAGTGATAGTGCAAAGGTGGATTTGGGACTTTAAAAAATGGTGCTAGAGGTGGGGCCCATGCCCTCGCTAGGAAGTGATTTACCACTGAGCTGCAATGCACCTAACCATTCTTTTTAAAGACAAGATCACACTTGTAGCCTAGGCTGGTCTTGAATTCAGTGATCCTCCTGCCTCAGCCTCCTGAGTGCTGGGATTACAGATGTGCATCACCACATTCTGCTTGGGAAATGCTTTGGATAAATAACCTACAGGATTTGCTAAAGAATGAGACTCCAAAGCAAGACCAGGGCAGTTGATACCTAAAACGGGCAGACAGGATGAGAGTCCTGAGATTACTTGCCACCTTGAACTTTCAGATGAGAAAAAAAAAGAAAAGTTCTGCCTTGTTTAAGCCTTCAGCATTTTATTATTTTTCTGCTTCTTGTAGCTGAACATAGTCCTTTCATGACCCTGGCCACAGACTGGAGGAGCAGAGACACTGTAGGGGCCAAGGGATGGCCTTCCTGCTAGGAGTACTGTGAGGGCTAGATAAAAGCATTCCCCGAACCTGGCATATGGCAGACGGTAAGGCCTAATAAGTAAGTTAGTAAGACGGAAACGGTGATGTGTGAATGAACATGCTGGCAGTCTATTCCATTCCCTTAGAAGGTGAGGTTTCAATGGGAGAACGAAAGGAATTCACTAGAGGAAGGAAACAGATGAGACAGCACTCTGGGCAGAGGAGATGGTCCCAACAGAGATGGGGAACGAAAGTGGGGAGAGGAAGCCACTGTGGGGTGCAAAGTGTCAAAATGAGCAAGAAGGGCAGGATTAGCTGGAGTCTATTAACATGCTCAATCAACTGGTTGCATACTGTCAGGGTCAATGTGTGCTGAGTGCAAGTTAGAAAAAGCTAATCCTTCAAAAAGTTCTATTTCCTATATTGTGATTGATTTTCCCAATGGTGCCAAGTCCTGAAGAACACCAATGCTCAACTGGGAACTTTAAGGAACAATCAAGAGCGTTCTTGGCTAGTTGCACTGTTCACGCAAAGGCTGGGAGGTGTGTGTGTGTGGGGGGGGCAGGACACACCCAGTAACTGATGGCAGAGCTGTTTTGCTTTGGTCTCACACTATGGTACAGTCTAGGCTTTTAGGGGCTGTGGAAATTCGTGGGGGTCATGGGAGTCATGGAAAGTTAGGGGGAAGGTAAATCCATTCTTCAGAGGCCTAATCTCTTTATTGGCTGCCTGAATTCGGATTCTTTGCACTGAATAGCTCTGGCTCACCCTATGCACCTTCTTCCACTCTAACCTAATTATTGGCTACTTATGCTTTCCCTCACATCACCTACACCACCACCCTTGGTTCTGCTTTCCCATTTTGCCCCTAGAGTCTCTGTCCAGCTACACTTTCCAGTTTAGGCATTGGTTAATCCTATACTGGCACTGCCCTTAGAGATCTCACAGCTTTTACCCTGGCTCCCCATCTCTTTCTCGCTCCCACCTCCATTCCTCACATGCCCAAGGGCTCTTCCCCCCTTCAGTCCCGCCTCCGTGTATGCTCACACAATATCTTCCAGCCTCCTTTCAGTGTCGGTATTGGCTAGATCCACCCTGTTACCACCCCTTGAAGCCATAGTGCACTCTCACAAGACTCCCCATTGGCTCGTTGCAATCATTATCGTCATCCTGCCTCTACATCATTCGCGTGCAGTTCTCCATTGGCTGTTCTTTTTTATCTTTCTTACGTCTCACCGCCTACGCAACCTGCGGATCTCCCACTTTTTGGACCTCTGGGTTCGCTCCCCGCTGCCCCCATCGCCTGTAGTCATTCCATCTTCCCGCCGCCCACCATGCCGCTCGCGCTTAGACCTCCCCACTAAATGTCATACTTCTGCTAGCTACATCTTCGGTCCCGCATTAACCCCACTCCGGCCTTTCCATTGATTCGGTGATCATCCCGCCTCCCACACCGCCCACGCTCGGGCGTCCTCATTGGCCGCTAGCTTCTCCTGCCCGTCAGTCACTGCCTACGTCACTCCCGCGTGGCTGTCCATTGGCTGTTGGCTGTACCTGTCTTCATCTCACCGCCTACGCTCCACTGGAGCCCCACCCCCCCGCTCTGGCCTTCCCATTGGCTGCCCGCCTTTTCAGGCCCTGCCCCCGCCGGTCCCACCGCCGGTGCCGTCGGTGCCGCCGCCGCCGCCGCCGATATGGCGCGCACGGCCCCTGTGGAGCCACCGCTGCGGCATCCCGCGCCCCCGTCGCCGGCTGCGGGAGAGCCCCGCGCCTCGGTTGAGGCAGCGGTGGCCCCGCGGAGAGTGCTGTTCGCTGACGAGGCCCTGGGGCTGCCTCTGGCGCAGCTACGCCGCTACCGGCCGTGGGGCGGGCCCGGGGCGGGCAAGATGGCGGCGGCGACCGGGCAAGATGGCGGCAGCGGCGGGGCTGATGAGGACGATGATGGCGAGGATGGGGATGAAGGGGAGGAGGAGGAAGAGGAGGCTTGCCCTGATCCCTCGCCGCTGTGTCCCGTTCCCGCTGGCGGGGGGTTTTACTTGGTGCCCACATTTTCGTTGCCGCCCGCGCTGGGCCGTCTGGAGCGGTTGGGGCGCGTGATGGTGGAGCTGGAGGCGCTGCTGCCGCCTCCTGGAGCGGTCCCCGGGGGTTCCGGGGTGTGGGTGCCTGGGGGGCGCCCGCCGGTGGTGCGCGGGTTGGTGCGCGTGCTGAACCGCTCCTTCGAGAAGGCGGTGCACGTGCGGGCCTCACACGACGGCTGGGCTTCCTTCTGCGACCACCCAGCGCGCTATGTCCCACGCAGCCCCCCGGGGGCAGGAGTGGGAGGAACAGGAGCAGGAGATCCCCTCCTGGATCCGGGTCTAGGCCTGGGCCCTGGCCAGATGTCTGCCTCCTCACCCGACGACGGTGGCCGCACTGACCGTTTTGCCTTCCAGCTGCCCTTTGCTGAGGGTGCGGGAGATGGGGCGCGCCTCGACTTCGTGGTGCGCTATGAGACCCCCGAGGGCACTTTCTGGGCCAACAACCATGGCCGCAACTACACTGTCCTGCTCCGGATCGCACCCGCTCCCACACCCACTGATGCCGAAGGGCTGCCCCAGCAGCAGCAGCTGCAGCAGCTGGAGCCACAGCCTGAGTGCCAGGGTCCTGTGGAGGCTGAGGCCAGGCAGCTGAAGAGCTGCATGAAGCCGGTGAGGCGCAGGTAATGTCTGCCAGCGCCACCTCCGCCAACGCAGGGCTGAATGTAGAATGGAGAACAAGCATTCCATTCCAGGAGCCCCCCCAGGCCTGCTCTCCAGGACAGGGAGGAGGGTGCATTTGGTCAAAGAGTAGTGGAGGCCAAAATGTGCTAGGCACTGTTATATACTGGGGTACCATCCATTACTGAGTTCCACTGTAAAACCCTGAACAAGACAGACACCTTCCCTGCCCTCAACCATCATGCAAGGCTCCTGTGGGAAACAGTATGAAAAAGCAAACAAGTAGATAAGATAAATAGGGCTAAGGTTAGTGCTGAGAGGAAAAAAAGATACAGTTAAGGCTCTGGAGAGGGAGTGGCTGCTGTAGACGTGTTGAGGGTGAGCTCTTAGGCTGAGTCCCAGACGGTGATAAAGAGGAGTTATGGAAGAGAGAACTGATAGAAAATGGAACAGGTAGGACTTTCCTGAGGAGGTGGCATGGAGTCCTGAGTGGTGTGGAGCAGCGACATACGTGGAAGGGAGATGCAGGCAGTGGGGACAAGAAGTTCAAAAGTCCTGAGCTGGTTATGAGTTTGGTATGAATGACAGCCGGTGTGCTGGAGCGGAGAGAGCTTGCGGTGTGAGAGTGTGGACCAAGGGTCTCCCAGTGTGGGGTGTGGAATCTGATTCCTATCTGACATAGCAGGAAGTCAGTTACAGAGGTACAGAAACTGGTTGAGGAAGTGGTGGTACTTGGCTTTTTAGTTTCAACCCTTTCTGGTCTTGAAGTCTATGCAAGCTTTTTTACTGTTCCTCTCGTAGTCTGAGGCCTCCTGTAGAGGTGAGGGGCTGAGGCCCTATTCTCACATGGATGTATTAGCTTTGGCAGAGGCAGAAGCAGATGAGAAGTGGACTTGAAGCTCATGTCTCTTTTTTTTGCACATGGCTCCCATAAACTTCAGGGGCTGGGAGAAAGAACCATTTATAACCCAGGAGACTGATATAATGCTTTTCTAGGTTTTCTTTACCAGGACTATACATTTTTCAAGGACAACAGCTAGGCCTGATTCTTTTTGTGGTCGTCTAGGTGAGGTGACGCCTGGGGTCAGTTAGATTCTTCATGAAATGCGTGCATTTTCCTTCTAGGAGGACTGAAAATGGGAAATGGGAGGTTGCTCTTTTGGTCATTGGAAGCTGCATGATGGAGCAGGGTGTTGTGGGATCAGCTGGCTGTGGTAAGGGCTTAGGCCGTGAATGGTTCTGAAAGGTTTAGCTCTTAGCTGATGAACCTTGAAGTGGTAAGAACCTGGATTCTGCCATCAGATTACCTGTGTTCAAACCCGAGGCCTGCCGCTTTCTAGCCAAGTGCTACCTTAGCCAATTCTTAACCGCATTGTGCCGTAGTTAACTAAATATGCCCTCATCTGGAAAATAGGTAATTATGGCACGTACTGCACAGGGTGAGTAGAAGCATTCAGGGTTTAGCCTAGTTCAAAGTAGTGCCATAGTGGTGTTAATTAGCGTTAATATTTAGATACTCACATGCAATCTGTGTATCCCCTTCCTGAACTCAGCTTTGTTGTATGGTCTTGTCTCTGTTTCCTCATTTGTCAGAGAAGGATGGCATTAACATTGTGTGGTTGAATTGGATGCAGCAACTGTGGGCAAGGTAACTGAGGCATAATTGTAGCTGTGAAAGGTATGATGGTCAGCATTTACTGGTCTCTGGTAACAGTGGTAGGTGCATTCTCCTCTCAAGGCCAGCTGAATGTACTGTTTGCTGTAGGTGCTATATTGATTCCTAGTTAACAGGGAAATGGCGAGCTCAGATAGATGATCCAGCTTGCTTAAGGCCACTCAGCTAGTGAATGGCAAGAGCAGGGAGGAGATGTTAGGGACATTAGTTGAAAAACAAATTCTGGATTTCACTGTTGTGTTCTTGGCTCTTCTTCTTTTCCCTTGAACCTGTTATGTGTGCTTGATGTTTTATTGAGGTATACCAACACGGAGGGTACTGATCTTGAGTGCATGGCTCAGAAGATTGACAAATATGTTTGCACCCCACCCCCACCCCTCCAGAGCTGAGGACCGAACCCAGGGCCTTGTGCTTGCTAGGCAAGCGCTCTACCACTGAGCTAAATCCCCAACCCCAGTGTTTGCACTTCTATAACCACCACCCAGATTAAGAAACTGAGCAGTTCCAGTGCCCCCAGAATCGCCTTCATTTCAATCACTTCTCATCCCAGTTGGCAGTTGTGGGATCCCTGTCTGTAAGATACCACAGTTTGGGTACTGAAGTTTGGTCATTTTCAAGAGTGTGAAAGAAAGAGAACAGACAAATCAAAACCTTGCCAGGCCAAGGTGGGTGGAGAGGGTGTTTTTCTTTTAAAATACATGGGTGGTTTTAAGGAGAAATTGAAGTAGTTCATTTAGACAATTGTTTTGGTAGCTGGCCCCATGTTTGTGGTTCCCAACGTGACTTGAGATATTATTTTAAGTGGGTAGATGGCTTTTTGATAGCTTCTTTATCTTTTGATCTCAGCTCTTGCAAAGGGGAGGCTGGTGTGCACTGCAAGATCAGCGATAAGGTTTTCTTTGTAGGTCGGTGGCTTTCTTGGCAAGTACATTTCAACTTATTATTGTTGTAAGGCCTGTGTGCTGCTGCTGATGTGGAGCGCTGTTGAAGAACAGCTACCCCCTGTGATCTAGCCTTCTGGGGAAATGGTGGTGGACCTCAGGGGATACCCTTTTCTTATCTGTGGGAGGCCTGTTGTAGAGGGCTTCAGAAATGTTGGCGGCAGGCCCACTATGCAGCTGGGCCTTGACAGGTGGGGTCAGGGGAGCTGTTTGGCAGCCATGAGGATATAGTTCAGAGGCTCAAGCATGCTTCCCCCGGGTTGCAGGACCAGGTTTTCAGTACCCATTAGGTTTAGAGATAATCCATCAACAAGCATTTTTTTGGAAGGGCCTGTTATGTGCCGAGCACAGGGCTAGGAAGAAGCAAAGAAGATCCAGACTGGTTCTAAGATACCCACAGGTTTGTGCTAAAGCCCAGTTGCAAGGCTTACATAAAGCCTTACCAGGTGACCCATGGATGAGCCCCTTTTCTTTGCTAGGCACTTTGCTGAGCATTTTTGTATAGTCTCATCTATTCTCGACTGGTTTCTGTGAGCTAGACTGCTTTTAATCCCTCTTTTCTGTGTGGGTGAATAGCATTTGAGTCCTCAGTGCTAGGGCTGATACGGGAAGAGGCCTTTTGGTCAGTCTTGGCTTTATACTTTGAGGGGGTGTCCTATTCCTCTTCAGAGTCAAGAGTAACAAAATCCGACTGGCCCTTAAAGCCCCCACTGTTCCCGGTTTGCCTTCTGCTGTCGCTAGTCTTGCTTTATTCTGGCTTCTGTGCCGGAGCTCCTGGCACCACATGCCTTCTCTTACTCCTCTTGCTTCGAGTCTTTGCTCATACTGTTTGCTTCACCAAGAATGTGTGTCCCGCACCCCTCAGATTCTCCTCCTGTAGACCCCTCAGTTCTTCTTCATTTTTTTTTTTTTTTTTTTTGGTTTTTCGAGACAGGGTTTCTCTGTGTAGCTTTGCGCCTTTCCTGGAACTCACTTGGTAGTCCAGGCTGGCCTCGAACTCACAGAGATTGGCCTGCCTCTGCCTCCTGAGTGCTGGGATTAAAGGCGTGCGCCACCACCGCCCGGCCGACCCCTCAGTTCTAAGAGGGATTCCTCAGGGGAGTTTGCCCACCGTAGCCTCTTTAATCCCTAGTTTTATTCATAGCACTGATGAGCTCAGGCAGGTCAAGTTAAGAGAATGCCACAGAGCCTGGCATGGGAGCCTTATCCGAGTCCAGGATCATCCTCCATCCTGCCTGGGAATCCTGTGTGTTCTCGGATCCACCCTGGGCTCCTCTTTCATGGGATCCTCTCAAGCATTTTTTACCTCCAGACTTCGCCTTTTGCTTCCTCCAACATAATAGAAACCATCAGAATGAAACTCCCTATCACTCAGCTCCCAGCTCTGAACACTAACACCCCTCACATTGTCCCCATATTAGGCCACTTCCTGTTCTTTGCTCCAGAGCTTCAGTTTTTGCCATTTGTTCCAGAGTCTGAGATCATAAGCCTCATTTCTGTGTTGTCAGGCTTTTTTCCTGTTCCTGATCTTCTCTGTTGCCTTATCCTCAGTCCAGAGCTCGCCCTCTGCTTCTGGTCAGTACCTGATGGTCACCCTTGGCCCCTTCACCTGAAGTGACGTCACCAGCACCTGCTTCCGCTCCTTGCTCACCTCACATGTTTATCAGTCAGTCCCTGCTTTGGGCCAAACTCAGAAGGGTTTGGGGCTTTCGTTCATTCTTACCTACTTAGGTCACCTCCGTCCCTGGCCTTGGGACCACACCCTGCTCTTTTTCCTCAAAATCCCTGGCTCTTCTCTTTCTCCTTGTTCTTTCTGCCTCAGTTACTGAACTGTGTGTCTCCACTTGACAGAATCCTTAGGTTTCTGAGGCTTACCTGTCTCCCACACCGTGCTCCTAAACCACATCTTACTTCCTGACCACACACACCCCTCCACTTGTTTCCTGAGCATCCTTAAAGCCTTGCTGATTCTAGTCTGTGCCAGGGCCTAGTGTTCTAGCATGCCCCTTCCTTTTCTAAAGGCTCTGACTTGAGGCTGTAGTGAGACCTTTAGTAGGGGATTACTGGGTGACCGAACTGCTAGACTGTAAGCTCCGTGAGGGGTAGGGACATGCTCTGCATTGGTGACCACTGTATTCTCACAGGCCTGCCATGGTGCATGGCACTTAGTAGGTGCTCAATAAATATTTGTTGAAATAATGAGTTTGAGTATTTTTTCAAATGTCTCCACATCCAATTCTAAATTTCATAGTTCAGTTTGTTCCCCAGTGTGTCTCCTGTCAATCTCCCTGATGCACAGCAAAGCCTCAGGGGTTTTTAACTGTACCTGTAACTGAACGGATGGCTGAATTGGCAGCCCGAGGGAAATGAGAACAATTAGAATTGAAACAGGGCGGGTTAGGGGTCATCTGAGTTGTCTGGAGAGAGGATTTTATGTGAAACTGATGTCCCTTTGTTCTACAGAAAACTGGTAGGGCATCGTGGTTAAGGCTGTGGGCTGGAGGCTGCACACCTAAGTGGCGGAGCAGGGATCTGAGCCTGTGGAGCCCTGCGAGTGCTCCAGTTTGGAACGGTGGTACTAGGCTAGCTGATAGGTCCTGCCAGCTGGGCATGGCTGGACAAGTTGCTTTCCTTGTCAGAGCCTCAGTTTCTCTCAGTGGGAGCTCAGAAGGAATTAGTTTTAAGCACTTTATTGGTGCTTTTTATGTTTGCCCAGTCTGTTCAGCAACTCACTTCAAGTATTACTGTCGTCTCTTTATAGATGAGAAGACTGAGGCACAAGAGGTTAGGTAATTTGCCCCAGGTCACACAGCTGGTATGTAATAGAGCTGGGATTATTCACCATTGCATTTTCTGGCCATTAATTGAGATGCAAAATCAGTTTGCTAGCTTCCAACAAACATTGGAAAATGGTGTAGGGAACAGCACAGTACATTATGACAAGCAGTAGCGGTAAGTATTATTTTGAAGAACAGCTGTTTCAGTTCTCGGTGTGTCTGTGTCTGTGTCTGTATTTACTCGTGTGCATGTGCTGGGTTATGAGGTGAAATGGTTTTCTCACCCTGGGCTGTGACCATAGAAGTGTCAGTGAGCTAGAAGAAACCTGAGGCATGGTAAGTTGCTCCACAGTGCACAAGTCCTAGAGTTGAGGCTGACACTTGTTGGGGAAGGCAAGACATCGTCCTACATAACTTGGTGGCTTTCATAGCCTCCTCACCCCATTCCCCGCCCCCTCCCCCACCCCGAAGCACATGGCTTAGGGTAACTAGAATTCTAAGTATCTCAGAGCAACTTTCTGAAGCCACCTACCCCTCCAGACAGCATCATCAAGTTGTCTCCATGGGAGCTGGGCTCTGCTGTGTTTCCCTTTGGGGTTCAGCACATGACCCACTTTGGGCAAGTAAAGTTCTTTGAAACTTGGAGTGCTGGGAGTGCTCACATAGGCCCAGATGATGGTGGTGGTTGTGATGTGACTGAGTCGACTTTGCATTTCTCCTTGGGGCTTGTTAGCACTCATTTCTTCTTTCTCCCTGGCAACTCATCTCTCTGTCCTGTCTTGGCTGGCCCGGCCTGGGGCCACTGTCACCACTTTGTGAAGTCTCATCCCCTGGTCTCCGGGTACCGTCTGAAGTCAAGCGGCCAGAGTTTCTTAATGGCAGGGAGAATTTTCACACCCAGGAGAGTAGTCCGTTCTAGGTTAAGATGGACTTGACTCATGTTCCCAGGCACTCAGATAAGGTATGCTAAGACATCCCCGGCAGTTTGTGTCCTGGCCACTGGGTATCACTGCCCTTGAGAGGATGCCACATGGCATTTGTGGGACTGGTGCCAAAAGAGCAAGGTTTATTTTTGAAAATTAACAGGCACACTGCAGGTACAGTTTTGTTCTTACTCTCCCCATATTTCTAAGAACTGTTACTGATCAGTGCACCAGTGCACATTCCACCCAGTCCCTTCTTTTCCTCCTTGTGATTGTAGTCACAGCTGCCGCCAAGTTTTTACCACGAAAGACAGTTCAAAAGTTTTACACCCACCCACCCACCCACACCCACACACCCACACACACACCCCTGCCTACTGTTTGAGACAATGTCTTCAAAGTGGGGCTGTTTTGGGGTGTCGTCAGTATGGAGTGTATTGCAGTTAGTGGTTATAGACACAGTTCCTTCAATCTTAGTTTCTACATTTGGGAGAAGGAGAGCTTGCTGTTTTGAAGGATACATGTAAGATTTTCAAGTGACCTTGATGTAACAAAAAGACCCACGGTGGAGGAGGCAAGGCACAATCGTCCCTGCCTCCTGCTTTTCTTCCCAGCTCTTTGAGGTTGGGAAAACAACTTGCTTGTTTCTGCTGACTTGGCGGATCTTGGTTTGGGCTGATACTTGGATGGCTTCAGCAGGAGAAGAGGTGTGGTGGCTGAAGGACTTTCTTTTGGAATGTATTTTTCTTCCTTCTTCTGACTAGAAGTCTCTTTTCTGCTAGTGGCTGCTGCCTGGGTTCTCTTTTCACTCACATCTATGACTTAACAGGAGCTTGGTTGTCATGCGTGTCAGGATCGAGCCAGATTACAGGGGGTGCTTGTGTAGGGCCTGTCCATGGGAGGAAGGGCTGGCTTTCTGTCCAGTTGGGCGTGTTCATGAAAAGTTTTACTTTAGAAGATCCCAATAAGATGCTTTAAGAACAAAAACTAAGGATACTGTCTCTGCCAGGTAGAAATCCTATGGAGCTGTAGATCCAAAGGCCTGGATTTTAGACCCACCGAAGAGACCGGCTCAGGACTGACATGGTTTTTCCTGAATCTTCTCATTAGTGTTGTGTGGAAGTTTCTGGCTGGGCTCCCAGAGCCACCTGCCCCAGGCTCCCTAATATTCAGACTGAATTACCTCTGGTGGGATGCATGAGCCCTAGACTACAGAGAAAGACTCAGTACCCCTTCCAAAGATTCTAGACTCTAGGCCCTCGTATTAGTTAAAGCTCCTTCCTCCAAAGTGCTGATGAAAGGTTCCTGTAGCCGCTCTTTGGTAGTAGTCTAGCCATACATGGAACTGGAGAAGTAGTGAATATGTGGATGATGGGCAGCTGAAAAACAGCCTTCCTGAAAGGGAGGGGGCGGGATTGAATGTGTCTGTTATGGGTTCTCCCCTCTCTTTCTAGTTGGGGCTGGAGATTGGGTTGGGTGCAGTAGGAGTCTCTTATCCAAACAGCGTCAGCTTGTTAGCTAAAGATCTGGGTTTTGATCCTGCCTGTGCAGTCTTGAGTCATCTCCTTAGCCTCCCCTTCATCATCCACAAGATGGGGGGAGCAGAGCTGCCCCACCTCAAAGGGTTTACCCGTTCCTCCCTTGCAGTCAGCACCGGTATTAAACCTGTGCATGGGACACATGAAGACCACTGGCTAGCACCAGAGTCCTGGGCCTGGGCCTGCTGGTGGCATTCTGTTTCTGGGAAGGTCATTTTGATTAGGTATTTGATTAGGTGTTTTCTCAGTTGCAGCTTTTTTTTTTCCCTAAGTGTCAACAGTGCCCTGTTAGCTCTGAGGAAGAAAAAGTTGTGACTGTTTCAGTCCCCTCGGGTCTCTGAATCCTGTCATCATTGCTCTCATAATCATTGTCTCCTCCATTTGTCTTCTTTGTGAACATTCGGTCCTCACAGGTAAGAAGAAGAACAGCGATTGCTCCATGATTAAATCCCACTCCTGATAGGACTGAAATGCTTGGCCTGTGCCACTCAGGGATCTAACTCGGCTGACAGAGGGGCAGTTAGACCAATACATTTCTCCCACTGATGGAGCTGCTGCTCTGTGCCAGGCCAGATATCTGGCTTTCGATCCTTACTCTTGACTTCCTGTGCTCCCTGTGTTGCATACAAGGAGGTGATGGATCCTGGCAGGCTGGTGTGGGGGCCAAGGAGAGCTGGAGTAGAGGGACAGGCCTTTCTGACTCCCTTCCCATTCATTCTCCATTTGCTTTTCTTCTTCGCCTCCGCTGCTTCCTGTGTCCCCTAGTCTTCTGCATGCCCTTCCCTTAAAAATGGCTTCTGTGATAGCCAGGAACAAACCCTAGATAAGGGATGCCAAACTGCCCATTGATATTTGGTTTGTAACCATAAAGTAAAGGAAACAAGCTAACTACTCAGCAGGAAGGGGATGGCCACATAGATAATGTCAAGGCCATTTGATAGGAGCACAAAGCTGCCGTTTTTTCTCTGTTTGCAAAAGTCTGTAATGATGTTTCTTACTGTTTAATGGACAAAGCCAGCTGTGAAAGCATGTTTGCAGAATCTAAATGGTTTCAGGGAATGTCTGGAATGAAATTTTCCAAATAGTAACAGTGGTTGCCTCTGGCTCATATGTGATTGTTTACTTTCCTGCATCCTTATGCTTTTCTGTATTTTGAAAAATTCCTACAATGAGTGTATAGGACTTTTATGATCAAAGAATTAAAAAGCAGCGGAAGAGAAAATAGCAGCTGTTAGGTGAAGATTGGTCACCACAGTGGCACAGAAGGTGCCCAAGGGTGGCAGAACTGTCCTCTCAGGGTGTCAGATTGATGTGCTGTCTCGTTTGCCCGACAGGCCTCTTGAGGAAGAGCAGAGAATGAAGAACATGGATGATAATACCCTTGTGGGTAAGCACCTGGCAGGCTTTGAGCATTCTAGCCCCTTCTACTACCTTAATTATTTTTCATGGTGCTGGGGATGGGACCCAGGGCCCGTGTGTGTGCTAGGCAAATGCTCTGCTACTGAGCTGTGTCCCCTAACCTTTCTAGTGGCCTTTTACTATTTCTTCTTTCCTTGTTTCTTTCTATAAAAAGAAAAGGTCACTTCCTTTGACTGCCACAAAAAGCTTCCAATGTAAACTTCCAGTTAGTGTCATAGATGAGCAGGATTAGACTGCTTGCATACCTGTCTCGCTTCAACAGTGCCCTTCTCTTCTCTCTGACAGAACATCCTGATGTTCGAGAGTCGCTGGGTCCCCTGGTTGCCCCCACCCCTCTCCGTCCCTGGCCCCAGATGACACTTCAGGTAAGCGGGTCCTTGTAACCTTGGTGTGAATAGTCTGGTAGGTAGTTCCCAGTGTGACCACAGCTGGACCTGGTGGTAGAGCTGACAAGCTTTTGTCTATCCTAGAAATGGGGGTGGAGGTGGGAGTGAGATCACAGACCTCAGGATCTGATGGGGGTAAGGGACGGCTGAAATTATTCACTTGGTTTTAACTGTTAATTAGCAAACCTTTAGAGTACTTGTTCCATGTTATAGACACTGGAAACCTAACACAGATGACATCTGTATGAGGATTACATGTTCAGGCAGAGACATAATGAAATAAAGATTAAATATGTGCTATTTTAAATGAAGATGAGTGCTTAGGGGAAATGGAGGGTGGGAGGGGCCTGAGAAACGAGGCTTGAGAGAAATTTGAAGGGGAGAGGAGCCCCATGACAAACTGGGAGAGGAGCCTTCCAGGCAAGTGCCAAGTTCCTAAGGTGGGCTTCGACTGCTGTGTGTCAGAAATAAGACTGAGCCAGGCGGTACTGGTGCACGCTTTTAATTCCAGCACTTGGGAGGCAGAGGCAGGCAGATCCAAGTTCTAGGCCAGCCTGGGCTACAGAGGGACTTCCAGGGCTACACAGAGAAACCCTGCCTTGAAAAACAAAAAACAAACAAACAAACAACAAAGAAAGAAAGAAAGAAGAAAAGAGGAAGAGAGGAGACTGTTGTGGGGGCAGAAGAGCAGAGTGAAGTGAGGGGCCAAGAGGAGAAGTGGGGAGTAAGGGCAGGGACGGGGCAGGGAACAGGCTGGGGGGGGGCATGGGAACCAAGGTGAGGACTGAGGCATTTTCACTTAGTGAGGCGGAGACAAGGGAGGAGGGCCGCGAGCACTGCTGTGGGGCACTGTTGGAGGAGGGTGAGAAGCAGGGGCACCAGGGAAGAGGAAGCTGGCGAACCATGATGCTGTTGCCAGGGGAGGAGGGAACATTTAAATGTGTGTGTTTTAACTTTTGTTGATAAAAATGTAAAAGTATATATAAAAGTAGAGAGACTAGTGTAATGAACCCAGAGTTTCAACACATGCTGGTGTATAAAAGTAAAGAGCCTAGTGTAATGAACCCACATCACCCAGCTTCAACACATACTGGTATGTGTCCATTCCTACTTTATAGCATAGCTCTTTCCCTTCTCATTTCATGTGGAATTATTTTGGGAAATAATAATAATAATAATAATAATAATAATAATAATAATAATGATGATGATAATAATAATAATAATCCAGATAACACTCAATTTGTGAATGCTGTAGTTTATTTCTCAGAAAAATAACCGTAAAACAAAACAAAACAACAAAAAATCCCCCAATGATCATGCCATGATCACATCTCTGAAAATTAACAGTATTCCTTCATATCATTAATGATTGAGTTAGTGATCCAATTTCCTTACATGTATTCCTAGGACCCAAACAAGGTGATGCATTGTATTTCTTTTTTTTATTCTTTCTCTCTCTCTCTCTCTCTCTCTCTCTCTCTCTCTCTCTCTCTCTCTCTCTCTTTCTTTTCTCTTTTTTTTTGAGACAGGGTTTCTCTGTGTATCCCTGGCTGTCCTGGAGTTCACTGACCAGGCTGGCTTTGAACTCAGAGATCCACCTCCCTCTGCCTTCTGAGTGCTGGGATTAAACTGCCCAACTGATACATTGTATTTCATTTCGATATGTGTCTTTACTTTTTACTATCCCCAAGTTTCTTCATTGTAGTTTGTTTATTAAACCCTGTTTGTCATGCAGAGTTTTACATCGTCTAAGTTTGGCTGATTACATTCAGGTGGAAACACAATTCTTATTCTATTTAAAAAATTTAAATTACATTTATCTATCTATCTATTTATTGTGTATCTGTGTGTACATGCACAGGTATGTGCATGTCACAGTATGTGTGTCTGTGTGTGTCTGTGTGTTTTGAAAGCCAAAGGACAACTTGTAGGAGTTAGTTCTCTCCTTTTGTTGTGTAGGTTCTGGGAATCAGACTCAGGCTCTCAGGGCCCTTACTGAGCGGTCTCACTGACCATGACCTTCTTACTCTATTTTCGTTAATTCATTCATCTTATTTACTTCAGTGTTTTATTAAGTTACATTTACTCAACCATTAATTCTGCTAAATATATTTGTTAAATGTTGTCTAGCATTATGAAATTGACTTAAACAGAACTCATTCCATTAAGTTCTATTAAATTCTGTCATTCTACTTCTTTTATTGGCTGGGCTTTTTCTCTAAAGAAAATTATTACACATTCATTCATTCATGGATCCAAAACGTATTTGTTGACTCTGAACCCATTGCATTTTTTTTTTTTTTGGTTTTTCGAGACAGAGTTTCTTTGTGTAGCTTTGCGCCTTTCCTGGGACTCACTTGGTAGCCCAGGCTGGCCTCGAACTCACAGAGATCCACCTGGCTCTGCCTCCCAAGTGCTGGGATTAAAGGCGTGCGCCACCACCGCCCAGCTGCATTTGTTTATTTTGATGCTAGGAGTAGTTTTCTTTTCTTGTGTCTTTTTAGCCCTATTAGCACTCCCCATTATTCTGTGAACCTCTTTTCACATCTTGCTATGATAATATATCATGGTCTTGTACTTTGCCTGCTCCAAACCTGGAGAAAGCAGTCTCATTAAGAAGCCTTGGTTTGGGGGCTGGAGAGATGGCTCAGCGGTTAAGAGCACTGGCTGCCCTTCCAGAGGACCTGAGTTCAATTCCCAGCACCCACATGTTGGCTCACAACCATCTATCATGGGATCTGATATCCTCTTCTGGCATAAAGATGTACAGATAGAGCACTCATATACATAAAGTAAATAAATAAATAAGTAAATAATAAATAAAAGAAGCCTGGGTTCCTTTTGATGGAGAATCATGTCTACCAATTCAGATGGGGGCTCAGTAGGACTGTTGCTACTAGACTGAGCATTGTTTTCAAAGACAATTACAAAGTAAATATTAACTTCTTGTTAACTTTAGTGTGTGTGTGTGTGTGTGTGTGTGTGTGTGTGTGTGTGTGTGTGTACACAACTTGTAGGAACTGGCTCTTTCCTTTCCAACACATGGGTTCTGGAGATCAAACTCAGGTCATCATGTTTGGCAGCAAGTGCTGTTACCCACTGAGCCATCCTACCAACCCATAAATAAATATTTTAAAAGAGAAAACCCATCATGAATTCATTTGTTACAGTTATCTACTGAGTACGGATGCCCAGCGGAACACTTAGCATTATCACCTGCAAAAAGAGGTCTCTTTGTACTTGCCCGAACTTGACTCTTTGCATATACATGATCAAGTCTTTGGCAGTTAGACAATTACAGGGGGTTCTTTAACATATTTTTGCCTGGAAAACTCTAGGGACTGGGTGTAGGCTGTTTCCAGTTCTTACTGTCTCTTCTACTTTATTCCATTCCCTTTCTCTCCCCACGCACGTGATGGAAACAGGTCTCTGAAGTTACAGCGAACAACCCTCAAGAAGAAGGTGACGTCCCCAGAAGCAATCCACCTGTGGCTTTTACAGAGGTCCTCCAGATACCAGCCATCAGGATCCCTCCATCTACCTATGGCCTGGGTGGCCCCCCCAGGGACCAGGCCTCAGGGCCCGATGCAAGTGATAGAGCCACTGGACCCTTCCTGGAACCCAGTCAGCAACAGGTGGAGGCCGCGTGGGAAAGTGGAGGGGGTCGAAAGGCCCCCATGGTGGGGGCTATGGCAGAGGAGCCCCCTCGGGGTCTGGAGATTGTGAGCGGGTTGGAGGAGTTGCTTGGTGAAGACACCATTGACCAGGAGTTGGAGCAGCTCTACCTGTCCCACCTCAGCCGCTTGCGGGCTGCTGTGGCAGCAGGGGGCGGCGGGGAGGGCTCTACAGATGGGGGAACCTCCCCCAGCCATCCCCTGGGCATGCTCACCGACCGGGACCTGATCTTGAAGTGGCCTGGCCCTGAGAGAGCCCTGAACAGTGCCCTAGCCGAGGAGATCACGCTGCACTATGCACGCCTGGGGTGTGGCGTGGAGCTCATCAAGGACACTGAAGACCCTGATGATGAGGGGGAGGGCGACGAGGGGCTCTCCATCACTCCCTCTAGCCCTGAAGGAGACAGTCCTAAGGAATCACCTCCAGAAATCCTCTCTGGGGCACGCTCTGTCGTAGCGATGGGAGATGTGTGGCTCCCATGGGCTGAGGGCTCTGGATGTGACAGCCCTGTGGTTCTGGGAACACAGGGACAGTTTACTGAGAATCCAGAGAAAGAGATGGGCAAGGACATCGACTCTTTGCACATGAATAGGCCCATAGTTGGGATGACCGGGTCCCCAGGGGAGGCTGGGACAGAAGCCCAGATGGAGGTTCCTACTGAGTGGGCAGGCAGCTTGATATCTGTCTCTGATACGGAACCGGAACCGGAACCAGAGCCGGCTGCACCAGCTCTGCCAGAGCAGAGTCCCGCTCTCCTTCGTCCCCCGGGCACTGAAGTCTGTCTGTCTAGTGTAGCCAACTCTCACGTGGTCTCCCAGGATGAAGAGGGTGGAAGCCTAAATCTTGAGTCCCCAGAGAGGTCGCCCATGCCAGCAGCCCCTGCACAATGTATGTGTGGATTGGCTCCTCAGCTTCGGGGGCCCTTGACCCAAACTCTGGGTGTCCTGGCCGGGCTAGTTGTGGTCCCTGTGGCTTTGAACAGTGGTATGTCCCTTCTGGTGCTTGTGCTGTGCCTCTCTCTGGCCTGGTTCTCGTAGGGACTGCCCGTAGGATCAATGACAGCAGATCTCCTCTTTGGGGTCTGGAGATTGGCAGTCCCTCTGTCACCCCAAAGAGTTGAGATGAGATCTGTGGCCTGTGTCGTGAGGGACTTTGGTCCTTTGATTTTGAGAGTGCTCGACTGGAGAGAGGCCTTCCCGTCTCGGAGCTCTCTCGTCAGCACCAGGCTTCCCGCAGTAGTACTTGTGGAGTGGAAAAGAATGGTGGACCGTGTGAGAAATTTTAGAATGGAACCAGGCATGCCCCCCCACCCACCCCAAGCCTGTATTTATTTTTGTATAATTCTCTGGATGAGGGAGAGTGGTCATGAGCTGGTCTTGGGGCACAATTACCCAGAGATATATTTATTAACAGCCAATCTGTGCAACCTGCTGGAGCTTTATTTTTAATTTAATTTATATAGAGTACCTATTATTATATGCCACAATAGAGCTCTATGAGAAATGATGTGTCTTGCTGTGCTGGTCTCCTGTTTGGGCCTAAGTGTGTAGGGTGGCCACATTCTGGGGAATGACCATGATCCATGGTGGGCATGGAGATGGCCATGGCCATGCCTACTTCTGCCTCCTCAATGTGTTCTGGAGGATCTGTATCCCTTTGCCTTGTGGTCCTAATATATGTGGTCCTTTGGTCGTGCATATTTTGTCTGTGGGAGCCTCTGTCTGTGTATATGGGTGGTTGTGGTGGGAGCCAAGAGGAAGAGGCCACATGAAGTTTTGGTGTTAGTCATGTGGCTATGTCAGTGGCTGTGGCCAGCTGTAAATATGGAGACATGGATTGGCCACAAGGTTTTGAGGCTACTGAAAAAAAAAACAGCTTTTGACACCAGCAGGGAGACCCCTCAAACCCCCAAATGGGGAAGGCCCCAGAAAGAAATTAATGTACTGTGAAAAATTTGTATCAGATTTGTTGTCCACAGACATTGCATTTCTACTCCAAACAGGAAACCCAGAAGCTTTAAATGAAAGGTTAGATACATTTATTGCATGCAAATAAAAACTCTTGGCATAGCAAAATAAAACACAATATATTTATTTACTTCCCTTTACAGCAAAACTTTGAAAAATGGTAATTGTTTTGGTGGTTTATTTATTTATTTAGCAGGGTTTCAGACTGGCTGGGAGCTCACTGTCCTGTTGCTGCAGTCTCCTAGCAGGGGGATTCCAGATGTGTGTCAGCATATATGCCTAGTGGTACAACAGAACTTCTTAAAAGAATTATTGTAGCAGCTTTCTCCATTCTTTTCTCTTCTGCCAGTGCCCCATGCCTTTCTGAAATAGCCCCAATTTGTATTTTTCCCCAGCAATTTAAAAAATGATGCTGCTGTTATAGCAACAGTTATGCCCCAGATCTTTCTCCATTCTTTTCTATTCTGCCAGTACCCTATGCCCTTCTGAAATAGCCCTGATCTGTATTTTCCCCAGCAACAGAAAATTGCCGCTGCTACGGCAACAGTTACGCCCCAGATCTCATCTTCCACGGCTTCCTGGCAGTATGTGACAGGCTGATCACCTCTATTGCCGGCTTTTTCTTCCCCTGGTTTCCAGGGTGCCACACTCTCCTAGTTTTCCTCACTTCTCACTGGCTGTTCTAGAACAGTGCCCATCGTGTAGATTTGCCCAGTAAAGGACCATTGAGCGAAACATGAAGGAACAGACACGTATATAAAGAAATACAGAGAACTGTGGCTACAGTCTCAGCTCAGCTTGGCAAGTGTTGACTGACTGAGCACCTCTGCTCTGTGGACACCAAGTGGGGGTCTCACAGTCCTGGGGGGGGTGAGCGGTACAGAGAAGAAGTCTGTGCAGCATGCTCAGTGCACTAACAGTGTTAAATGTTAAGGGCTGGGGAAGCCCAGGACAGGTGCTCAGCGTCGTCGGGAACTCTGGAAATCTTGGAGGATCTGGTACCTGTTCTGAGT